GTCATACTTGTCACACGACAGGTAAAATTTTGCTGAAGATCATCCAACAATAGTTGTAGTAGTACATTGACAGGGAGCTGCCAGAGATTCAGGTTAGATTTAGAAGAGGCCGTGACGTGAACAAGGGATATCATTGCTAACTGTGCCAAGGCATTTGACTGAGTCGATCATTATAACCTATGGATAGCCCTGAGAAGAATGGGAATCCCAGAATACTTTGTTGTGCTTACGTGGAACTAGTACATGAATCAAAAGGCAGTTGTTTGAACAGAACAAGTCTCTTGGAATTAACAGGTTAACAATTGAAAACAACCATTTGAGCAGTGCTGAAAGAAGTTTGGAAGAAAGCTGCCTGGCTAACTGACTAGAAGAGAGATGTATTTGTGCCCATGTCAAAGGGGACCCCACAGAATGTGAAAATTATTATACACTATTGTTCATCTCACATGTAAAGTTTTGCTGAAGTTATATTCAAATGGTTAAAGACCCCTGATAGATCAACAGGGAGCTGCCAGAAACTCAAGTTGTTGTCAGAGCAAGATACAGAATGAGGAATATCATCGATGCACAATGGCTAAAATCAGATACCAGAAATGTGTTAACATGGTATTTTATTGATTATGTGAAGGCATTTGGTAACATAGATCAGGAAAAAAAAAACCATGGATAATATAGTAGGAATTTCGTAACATTTACTTATGTTCAAGTGGAACCTGTATATAGACCAAGAAACAGTCATTTGAACAGAACTAGGAGATGTTTCCTGGTATAAATTCAGGAAAAGGTATCATCAAGGTTGTATCCTTTCATGATACCTTTTCACTCTCTATACTGAGCAGATAATTTATAAAACTGGGCTGGATAAAGCATAGTGCAGCATAAGGATTGGAGGAAGAATCACTAACAGCCTGAGATAGATAGCACAACCTTGTGGCTTTTGGTAACCCTGAGCACCTTGCAGATATGATCTGTGACTAACCCTGAAAACCGAGAAGTGAAAAAGCTTCAGTGGAAACCAAAACAAGGAGAAAAGATAAAACAAATCCAGGCTAAATAATAAAATGAAAATCAGTCAATAATAATGCTAAGCTAAACCTCAGTCTTTAGAAATTGACTTTTCAAGGATCTGAGAGTTATTCATTTAGGCAGGTCCCAAAGATCTATGGGAAAAGGAGCATCTGAATAACTTAGCTATATCCAAAGCCTAGTTTCCTAAGATTCCAGGAGTTGCCATTGGAAACTGGCCTTGAGATCCCACTTCTGACACCAAAATTTTCATAATGGAAAAAAAAGTTAGTTTAAAATGGAAAACAATGAGCTTATTACCACAAACGAGCCTTTTGTAAAATGGGGAACACATTGTCAGACTATAGAGACACAGAGGTTGATAAAGATCAAAACCACAGTTGATGGGTGTATATTAGTGGTATACTCAATTGGATGAAGTTTATTACGTTGTAGGTATGTGTTAGTCCGGGTAGACTAGAGAAACAAATGAAAGAGCTTTATATTAAAAAGTAATTGTATATTAAGAAAACATCCCAGCCCAGTCCAGATTAGGTCCTTAAGTCCCAGTATTAGCCCATGTCTGATACCAGTCTATAAATTCCTCCTAGACTCACGCAACACATGCATTGATGCCAATTGCATGAAGATCACAGGCTAGTGGGTGGAAAGTCTTGTGGACCCAGTGTCAGTGGAAGCATCTCAGCCCTGGCAGGGGTCTCCACATGGCTCCTTCAGCTCCAGGGCTCTAGTTCAGTATAGCTCCAAGTGTCTTAGCAGGAAGATGAAGCAGAGTCTGGGTCTGGCTTCCAGTGGCCTCCTTAGCACCTCCAAATGAGGTCATCAAGCTGTGACCTGATTGACAGGCTAAACTCCACCCCTTCACTCTTAATAGTCTCAAGTTGACACCAGATTATATAACTACCACAAGGTACTAAGTATTTTTAAAATTATTTATTATAATTTGTATTTATAATTTTATATTTATATTTATAAATTTATTACAATTTGAGATAAAGTGTACAGAAGAAATTAGTTTTCTTTTCCATCCATATTTTGTAGTATTACCAGAAGCCCTGGTGGTGTGGTGTTTTTATGTTGGGCTGTGATTCCCCGTGGTCAGCAGCTCGGCAGAAGAAAGACAGGTTTTCTGTTCCGTAAACAGTAACAGTTTCGGAAACTCACAGAGGGTTGCTATGAGTCAGCCTTGGCTCAATGGCAGTGAGTTTGGTTTTGTAATACTAACAATCTTCCCAATTTCTCCTCCGTGTTTACCACTTCCATCTGTCCTATCTTTTGCATTTCTGCCATTTGAACTTTATCCTGGGTAAAATACTGTCCTTTTGTTCTGTTACAGCTGATTGTTAAGAGTATGGTAACTCCCTGGTATCATAGTTCACTTTGTAGACCTGTCCGTTGTTTGGCTGGAAATTGAAGCTGTTAGGTGAGTTGAGTTCCAATCCTGGAGGGTGACCAAGGACCATAAGTTTCTACCAGTCTCTTATAAGACCAGTAAGCAGGTCTTTTTTCTACTGAGTTTTGTTTTAGTTTTCTCCCACGCTACCTAGGATCCTCTATTATGATTCCTCATTGAGCAGTCAGAAGTAGAAGGTGGGCGTCATCTAGTTATTCTGGTCTCAGGGACATGTAGACTAGCGTATTTATGGTCTATTAGTGCTTTGGACAAATTCTTCCCGTCTATCTTTTCTTTTTTCCCCAGTACTTCTTTATTTTGACAGGGGATATACCGATACCACTTTAGATGGCTGCTCACAAGTTTTTAAGATCCTAGTCAATTCTCACCAAATTAGGATGTAGAGCATCCTCTTTGTAGACTCTTTATGCCATGTGGCCTTGAAACCATGGCCCGGAGTCCCCAGGTCTAGAACGTAATTCCTTCATGTTCTTTGCTTAATGGCTAAGAAGGTCACATAAAATTTACCCCTTGGTTGCTGTACTATGTATGTGGATATCTTTCTAGTACATAGAAATACATATGTGTAGATATCATATACCAGGTTCTAGGGTGTTGGTTAACCACTTCTATAAGGGTTGCTTTCCTTTGTCAAGATGACATGAAGTTAAGACACAGTTCTGAATGCACCTTTCCTGGAATATTTAAAATGTAAGTGCAGGGTGCTGTCAGTGGGGGTATAGGGAGATTATCTGAGCATCAGCCTACTCCCCACATCACATTTCTCCCGCCATATCAGATCATTGTGGCCAAGGGAGCAATAATGAAACTTTCAGATGCCATCAAGTCAGTTCTAAGTCTTGGGTCCTGGGCCACCCTCACCGTTGTTCTTTGAGCCCATTTGTGAGACCATGGAGGTCACCCTCCTTTTTCTTTCCCATCCACTTTAACAAGTATGCTGTCCTTCTTTGGGATGCTTCTGTAAACAGGGTGCTTATAACTTAAGCTCTAGTATAATTATCTCCTCTGACTATGAACTGTATTATTAATAATCCACTGACCACACAGGCTGGGATGTGCTTCTTTCGTGAAGACTTAGCCGGCGCCTCACTCAGACTAGCCCTCAAGACCTCGTCTCTCAGACAGAACTGTAGCTTTGTCTTTGAAGAGCCTGTGTGCGCAAACAACCACATTTCTCTGTAGAAGGTGTTCTCTCGAAGTGAAACAGGGAAACAAGGAAAGAAAGAGTTGGGAACTATTAGCAAATGTAATCACTTATGCTAGAAAAACTCCAAACAAGACTCAAGTCATCAGTCTTTTGTCAAAATTCTCTTATTATGAATGAGTAATGGTTGGACATTTTGTTTGATTTCATTGAAAACATTCTGCAGATACCAATTGTTAGAGAAAATGAAATTTTTTCCCCCTTGTTTGCCAAGGGTTTGGGGAAAAAATGAAAGGTAAGATAACACTTAAGTAACTAGTCTAGCCTTTGGGATCCATTAAAATAATATTACAATTTTAGGTATTTGATGGAGGGCTTGATTAATGGAGCAAAATTTTTAGAGGATTTGATGTTGAAATGTATTTTTTTCCTTATTTATTAGAGTTTTCAATCAATATACTAGCAAGCTATGCTTTGGGGGTCACAGAAACCTCATTTTGTAATCATAGAATTTAAACTCAGAGATTCTCTTTGGGGCTCAATGTCCTGATCTGTGAAATACGAATTAAGTAAGATACTGCATTTCACCGCCCTCACTGATGTAATGTGTTTGTACTTAGGTGGCAGTTTGTAAAAAAGGACTTGCTGTGGCCCTGCCACCATCCAAGCACAAGAAGTTTTAAAATGGAGTCGTCGTGTCAGGAGGATCAAGACAAGCTAGAGCCGCAAAACAGCACCAGAGAAGACACACCTGTGAACGACGGCGATGCCGACCTGATCTTTGTTGGGGTGGAGCATGTCAACGAAGATGCCGACCTGATCTTTGTTGGCGTCACTTCACATCCAAGACCAGTTGTTTCCACCATTTTGAACCGAGTTATCCCAGGTTCATGTTCAAGAAGGAAAAAATATAGTCAGCTCAGCCAAGACCCTGCCCACAGGAACTTGCAGCCTACAAGACAGACGACCCCTACAGCAAAAGTGGTGGCTGTCTCGCCAGCTTCTTCATCTGAATCGAGGTCAACAGACAGTCCCATTATTATTGAGCCTTTGTCTCATCCTGGTTATGACAAGAGCTCACCACAGATCGAGCCTACCAGGGCTTCAGAGGTACATTCTCCTTTGACTAGGTTCCCAGGTTCGCTGCAGCATCCAGGAGGAGCGGTACTTCCGGTTGGAGGAGTCAAAGAAAGGCCTTGTGTACCAGAAGAAGTTTCCACTTCGGAAGTCAACAGCATCAATCCCAAGCGACCTAAACTCAGTGATGGAAACCCTAGGGGCCATTCTTCAGCACTGTCCTTGGATCTCTCTATGACAGAGAACAGCCAGCAGAACACATCTTTAACAGGTGTGAATACCTCAATAAGCTATGCTCAGAATGGTGCACCTTTTTCAAGAGTTTTTCCAAAGGACAAGACCCGCTTTAAACCTGTACAACCAGATGGGGAAAGCAGGGAGCAGGCCAAAACAGACTTTTCCAGACTAGCAAGTCCGACTAAGATCTTCAGTTCCCAGGAAGGGAATCTGGTCATGTTACTTGATGACTTCTACTATGGCCAACATGAAGGAGATGGGCAGCCAGAAGAGAAGACTCACACAAACTTTAAATGCCTCAGCTGTCTGAAAGTTCTGAAGAATGTAAAGTTCATGAACCACATGAAGCACCACCTGGAACTTGAGCATCAGAGAGGTGACAGCTGGGACAGTCACACTACCTGCCAACACTGCTATCGGCCGTTTCTCACTCCCATCCAGCTACAGCGCCACATTGAGCGTGTGCACATAAGCCAGGAGCCCTCTTCTGTCTGTAAAATCTGCGAATTGTCATTCGAAACAGACCAAGATCTTTTACAACACATGAAGGACACGCACAAACCCAATGAAATGCCTTACGTGTGCCAGGTTTGCAAGTACAGGTCGTCGACCTTCAGGGATGTGGAAACCCACTTCAGGACCTGCCATGAAAACACTAAGAGTTTGCTCTGTCCGTTCTGCCTCAAAGTTTTCAAGACTGCCTCACCATACATGTGCCACTACACAGGGCACATAGAAAAACCTGTCCACCAGTGTTCCAAATGCCGACTACAGTTCTTAACGTTCAAGGAGAAAATGGAGCATAAGACTCGGTGTCATCAAATGTTTAAGAAGCCTAAGCAATTAGAGGGATGGCCGCCCGAAACCAAAGTTGTTATTCAGGTGACGCTGGAAGCCCTCCAGCCAGGATCAGTGGAAGTACCATCTGTGACTGTGAGCACATCGGACTGTGAACCGTCCCCGCTAGCTCTAAACAGTTTGCCCCCAAGTTCCATTCTCTCTACTTCCTGTAAACAATCGAGAGTATTTCCATCCAAGTCAAAGGCCCCCGCAAAACCAAAAAACACAAACCACACATTTCTCGATAGCACCAAATGTCTAGCAATGGATGAATCATGAGTGTATTTTGCTTCAAAATAGACAGTATTGTTTTGACTGAATTTTGAAGTGTTATTTTAAAATAGTCTCTAATTTTGATATATTACCATGTGGCTAACCACATTAAAGATATTTTTGCATATGTTTGTGAGAGAGAGGGGGGTGGGGAATAGTACTATTTTGGTATTGTTATGCCTACGCTTGAAAGGTTTGCATATAATCTGGTTTTTTTGGAGTATTTAATTTGTGTTCAACCTTGTCCACTTATTGACATGTTACCTCTGGTCACACTGGAATGACTTTGTCATGGGGCAAGGCCCGGCCCTTTTTGCTGCTGAGCTCCCTGAAGTGCCTCCGCTGTGTTTGCCCAAGTCTTAGGCCCTAAGAGAAGCTCATTCTGAAAGCTTTGGTGTCCCCAGGCAGACTGGAAGTTGGACGTGATGGGCCCAGGCTGAGTGTGTGGTGTGAGATGGATCGGGGACAGTGGCTCCACATTGTCTCACTGAGGAAAGAGGCTCATGTCTCCTTGAATTTTTGATCCAATCCTTTTTACGTATCTTTAACTCAAGAACATGAGAAGAGACAAAACCATGTAAAATAAATGGTCTGAAGGACCCTAGGTGGCGCTGTTAGCACTGCCTGAAACCCGAAAGTTGATGGTGCCAAAGCACCCAGGCATAAAAAAACCAACCAACCTGGCGATTTGCCTGTGTGAGGATGACAGCCAAGGAAAACACTAAGGAACAATTCTGCTCTGTATCCCATGGAGTCTTCCGAGTCACCAGCCAACAACAAAACCAAAGGAACCACAAAGTGAACAATTTGGGGGTGGGGCTGGGTCTTGGCCTACAGATACCGGATACCGTGCAGCTGCTGGCCCTCCCTGGCTCCAGACAACAGCAGTAGCAGCAGCCTTTCGCAGCAGGGGCCTGGTGCCAGTGGACCTCCTGTTGCTGGAACTGAAGAGGGTAGCCGTTTGTCCCCGCCCCACCCCTTCTGACTCGCCTTTGGTGACAATGGATTGTCCACATTCCTGTCACAGGCGGTGAGAAGCAAACACAGCTGCTATTGAGAATGGAGCCATGCCTCCTCTAACTGCTGGACTGGACTGGACCCGACCCATAGTTTGAAGTGAAGGGTCCCAGACACATGGTAGCTGCCCAGATCAATGGCTGTGCTAAGGTTAGTCTCCCACGGGGAAGCTAAAACAGAGATTGTCTTAAAAACATTAGAACAAAAATAGCCCGAGCCGAATGACTAAAATTTAGCTCATTACAGGGCTTTTCTTTATATTTTTTTGGGTGCCTGTATCTGCTCATTGAAAATGTGAAGTGGGAAATTTCAGGCCTTGCCTTCTATATGAATGTATTGCAGTTCATAGTTCCGTCCCCGACTGAACATATATTTTCCAAATGAGTAAAATTGATACTGAGTCTGGATCTTGACATTCACGGTAGTGCCCGACCTAATCTATTTCAGTGAATATGAAGTCGTAGAATTACTATTTTTCCATCCCGCCAGAAGTGTAATCTCTCCTATAGGTGAACCCCCTCACCAGGTCTTTCCTAAACCTGGGGAGGTGCTGACAGCTGACTCCTGAATCATCCCAGCCTTGGCTGCTTCTGTGGTTCCGAGGTGGAGTCTTGCTAGGTGAATCCCATGGTGGGTGGAGTCTCCCTCGGTAGTATGTTCTAATGCACTTCCTCCCGCACCCCACCCCAGGATGCATACCATCCTTTGTACTACTGGAGGTCTCTGGGACTCCGCTTCAGCCCAGACCTGGAGAAATCAGACTTTTCCTGGCCGTTCTCTTCTTTAACGACACTTTGCCTGTCCAGATTGGTTTCCTGGGCTTTTACACAGAGCTGGGAAGACGGCCATCAAGCTTCCCTCCCAGAATGTGAGAGGAGAGACCGAAGACAGCCAAGTAGTGATGTGAATGTACGTCGACTCTGGCAGTAACAGTGTAGATACTGTTTTATTTACTTGTTCCAGGCCTGAGGGATGATTTGCACTCTGAACGCTTTACTAGGCCTTTCAGCCTACTTGGACCAAGGCACTTTGCGAAAATTTCAGCCTGAATCCTTGGTTGAAATGTAGAACAAATGTTGTTGTTTTGGTTTTTTTTAGGGAATGATTAAAAACTGTACCCTGTATAATTGAAAATTGAGAACTACTGTCTCTCCACTTGTTCTGTTCTCAGGTGGAAGTGCCTAGTGTGTCTAATAGGTCTGCAGGCGTTGGCCTTTGTACGTTTTATGTGGTGGTATCTGTGGGGTTTTTTGTTTTGTTTTGTTTTCTGCAGTTGTGCAGTAGTATGCTACTATTACTATTGTTTGCTGCTTCGTTGTGAAGCATACTTCTACAGAATGCAAATTGTCATTGCCAATTGCCATCACCGCCTACTGCCTTTGAGTCACTTTTGGCTCATAGCAACCCTGTAGAAGTTCCCTGCCCTCTAGAGCTTTCCAGATTCAATCCTCCCTGGAGCAGACAATCTCAGCTTTTCTGGAGTGGCCAGTGAGCAGCCCAACACTCACCCAGCTATCTCACCAGGGGTTCCAGGGAATCTATTCCTTGCCATCTCCTTCTCCTCCCCCTCCTCCTCCTCCTTC